GTGCACAGATCTGAAAATGGAAAATGGGTTGTTGCGTCGTGCTGTTGGCAATGATGAAGCACAGCGTGGGGCAAATTGTACCAAGGTTAGAATTCCGGAGCCTAAAGAGTTTAATGGCGCAAGGAGTGCCAAGAAACTCGAAAACTTCCTTTGGGATATGGAACAGTACTTCCATGCTGCCAAAGTGCAAGATGAAGACAAGGTCCCCATTACGACTATGTACTTGGTGGACGATGCAAAGTTGTGGTGGCGTACGCGCGTGGCAGATGATGTAAGTGCTGGTAGACCGAAGATTGACTCTTGGGAAGGGCTGAACAAAGAGTTGAAGGATCAATTCTTTCCTAGCAAAGGGGGCTGGATTGCTAGAGATCGTTTGAAGAAGTTGAAACAAACTGGAACGGTCAGAGATTATGTCAAAGATTTCAGTTCTTTGATGCTGGATATAAGCAACATGTCTGAGGAAGACAAGCTGCAAAATTTCCTTTACGGGTTGCAGTCGTGGGTGCAAATGGAACTACGAAGGCAGAATGTGAAAGACTTTCCTAGTGCCATTGCTGTTGTGGATGCGTTGGGTGATGTTCGGTTGGGACAAGATGGTTCTGATTTCTCTACTACTTCAAAGTCCAAAAACGGGAACAAGGACAAGGTAAAAGAGTGGAGGAAAAACGGAAACGACAAGGGTAATGTTGTTTAGGGCAATGGCAATGAGAAGGGAAAGCAATGTACTGGACCTTCGACAAACAAGGGACAAAACAGCAAATTTGATGGCTGTTTTATTTGCAAAGGACCACACATGGCGAGGGATTGTCCAAGAATTGAACGGATTTCAGCATTTTTTGCTGAAGAAAAGAGTGAAGATGAGCCAAACGAGGAAGAACATGAGCAAGCAACAGCATATTTAGGGCCTATGGTGGTGCTGAAAAATGTGGAAGCTGCTTCGTCGAGGACGACGAATTCTTCTGGTGGGGGTGGTTTGTTAGCCCCTTGACAAAGGTCCTCGGCAGGTGTGGGTTGTGACAAGGATTTTCATGATGGCCTTGGCACACAACCTGCAAATGGGCAACATCATGATGGGCTGCTCGGCATGACGAACAATGCGGGGTTCGACAAACGCACCTTGAACGGAAGCAAGGCGCACTTTACTTGGATGTGTGGGTTGGCAAAACAATGGCAAGGCAAAGCCATGTCAAGCAGAGGAAAAGACATGGAAAGGCAAGGCAAGGCGGGACAAGCAATGGCAAATGATACGGGCAGATTTGATCAAGTCGGGGGCGACTTGACATGGGCGGGCAACTGTGACAATGAATGTGTGCGGCTAAGTCAGCGGGCGGCGATTTGTGGCAATGACATTAGCGCGGAGCAGTGTCAAAGGCAAGGTTGGGCGCAATACCAGCCTTGGCACAAAGCAGCTGGGCAAAATCAGACACATGTTGTGCACAAGCAGCAGTTGGAAAACATGTGCAAAGCACATGGGAAGTAGTTGGCAGTTGCAACCTCTTCCAAGACATGCTGATCATGGCCTAAAAGTGTGCCCACGTTTTTGTACTTTGTCTTAACTTGTTTGCCCATCAGTTGGGCTTGTCAACTGATTATAGCCTTATAAATACTTGCCTAGGCTGTCCAAAACGGGGCAGAAAAACTTAGTCTAAGGCATTGTGAAGCCAAATTCGTCTAAGTCATTTCCTAAGGGTGGGAAAATCTTTTTGGGGCAGGGAATTAGGGAATTCTTTGTCTTGGCCATAGGTTTGGCTATTGTGTTCTTGTATTCACATATTAATACAAGTTGAGAAGAAATTCCTGTATATCGTGTGTGCCTTTATTTACTGTTTTTGCTGCCTATTTTCATTCTAAGTGCAAACGTCCCTAAAAATAAAACTAAGTGTTGGAAAGGCTGAAGTCAAGGCTGGGCTTGACTGCTGCACGGAGGTGAACCTCGGGCAGAATTCGAGTGACATAAATCACCCCTGTGACAACTGGTATCAGAGCCATGCTGGATCGGGGCAGAGACACAACGTTCGGTGGTTGAATTTTGTGAATAATGGTTGGTGGCAACGCAGAACTGAGGGAAAAGGTTGCTGCATTAGAGGCACTCGTCGGAACTGTTGATGGGGATCAATTTCTGACTATCTTGACTCTTCTCGCCTATCATGAGGTCGAGATGAACAGGCGGAGCCAGGAGTGCACAGATCTGAAAACGAAAAATGGGTTGCTGCGTCGTGCTGTTGGCAATGATGAAGCACAGCGTGGGGCAGATTGTACCAAGGTCAGAATTCCGGAGCCTAAAGAGTTTAATGGCGCAAGGAGTGCCAAGAAACTCGAAAACTTCCTGTGGGATATGGAACAGTACTTCCATGCTGCCAAAGTGCAAGATGAAGACAAGGTCCCTATTACGACTATGTACTTGGTGGACGATGCAAAGCTGTGGTGGCGTACGCGTGTGGCAGATGATGTAAGTGGTGGTAGACTGAAGATTGACTCTTGGGAAGGGCTGAAGAAAGAGTTGAAGGATCAATTCTTTCCTAGCAATGCGGGCAGGATTGCTAGAGATCGTTTGAATAAGTTGAAACAAACTGGAACGGTCAGAGATTATGTCAAAGATTTTAGTTTTTTGATGCTGGATATAAGCAACATATCTGAGGAAGACAAGCTGCATAATTTCCTTTACGGGTTGCAGTCATGGGCGCAAATGGAACTACGAAGGCAGAATGTGAAAGATTTTCCTAGTGTCATTGCTGTTGCGGATGCGTTGGGTGATTTCCGGTTGGGACAAGATGGTTCTGATTTCTCTACTACTTCAAAGTCCAAAAATGGGAACAAGGACAAGGTAAAAGAGTGGAGGAAAAACGGAAACGACAAGGGTAATGTTGTTGAGGGCAATGGCAATGAGAATGGAAAGCAATGTGCTGGACCTTCGACAAACAAGGGACAAAACAACAAGTTTGATGGCTGTTTTTTTTTTTTTTGCAAAGGACCACACATGGCGAGGGATTGTCCAAGAATTGAACGGCTTTCAGCATTGTTTGCTGAAGAAAAGAGTGAAGATGAGCCAAACGAGGAAGAACATGAGCAAGCAACAGCATATTTAGGGCCTATGGTAGTGCTGAAAAATGTGGAAGCTGCTTCGTCGAGGACGGCGAATTCTTCTGGTGGGGGTGGTTTGTTATCCCCTTCACAAAGGTCCTCGGCAGGAGTGGGTTGTGACAAGGATTTTCATGATGGCCTTGGCACACAACCAGAAAATTGGGCAACATCATGATGGGCTGCTCGGCATGACGGACAATGCGGGGTTCGACAAACGCACCTTGAACGAAAGCAAGGCGCACTTTACTTGGATGTGCGAGTTGGCAAAACAATGGCAAGGCAAAGCCATGTCAAGCAGGGGCAAAGACATGGCAAGGCAAGGCGGGACAAGCAATGGCAAATGATACGGGCAGATTTGATCAAGTCGGGGGCGACTTGACATGGGCGGGCAGCTGTGACAATGAATGTGTGTGGCTAAGTCAGCGGGCGGCGAGTTGTGGCAATGACATTGGCGCGGAGCAGTGTCAAAGGCAAGGTTGGGCGCAATGCCAACCTTGGCACAAAGCAGCTGAGCGAAAATCAGACACATGCTGTGCACAAGCAGCAGTTGGAAAACATGTGCAAAGCACATATAGTTGGCAGTTGCAACCTCTTCCAAGACATGTTGATCATGGCCTAAAAGTGTGCCCACGTTTTTGTACTTTGTCTTAACTTGTTTGCCCATCAGTTGGGGCTTGTCAACTGATTGTAGCCTTATAAATACTTGGCTAGGCTGTCCAAAACGGGGCAGAAAAACTTAGTCTAAGGCATTGTGAAGCCAAATTCGTCTAAGTCATTTCCTAAGGGTGAGAAAATCTTTTTGGGGCAGGAAATTAGGGAATTCTTTGTCTTGGCCATAGGGTTGGCTATTGTGTTCTTGTATTCACATATTAATATAAGTTGGGAAGAAATTCCTGTATATCGTGTGTGCCTTTATTTACTGTTTTTGCTGCCTATTTTCATTCTAAGTGCAAACGTCCCTAAAAATAAAACTAAGTGTTGGAAAGGCTGAAGTCAAGGCTAGGCTTGATTGCCGCACAGAGGTGAACCTCGGGCAGAATTCGAGTGACATAAATCACCCATGTGACAACTAGCACGATGTATAAGTATACCAAATAGGTATATTATTATTTTACGTCTATTCTTACCATATCATGCAAAAAACTGTGGGATATGTGGTCGACACACAATTTTGCATTCTTTAACATGGTATTTACAAAATTAATCTCTCTATAATCAAATAGGGCAAGAACAGGGGAGCATGTGGCTGGTTTTCTCAGTGCTTTGTCTGGTATGAATATATCATCTTCCTCATCTGCTACCTACACAAGAAGTTATGTTGAGGAAGATTAGTAGAACTATCAGCAGGAGAATAGGGAAAAACAAACCAAAGAAGTGGCACCAGTAGTGTAATTCGCCAAAGACCCACAACGCTAAATACTGTTTGTACGCCTAACAAACTATGAGTTCCGTATCAACAGATAGTAAGTCCAATTTGCATGGGTACTCAGGAAGACGTTAAATAGTTTGGTAGTATAGTAATTGCTAGCACATACACATTGCGCTCTGCAATCGCTACTTTATGTCTCGCTGCAAAAGTATAAAGAGAAGGATTTGAGTTCGCAAGTAAATTCAAGTACTATTCTTCTTTTCAACTCCTAGTTCTTTAAATTTTCAATCGCTACTCCCTTTTTACCTATTCTGACAATAGTAATCTTAATGTCCATGCTGCAACATAATGTCTTCAGATTTCAAGAGAAATAACCATTGCATCTATGTGTGAAAGATGATCTCAAGGATCGGAGTGTCCGAAATAAAGAAAGCTAGAAATTTTAAATGTATGTTGGCCACTTCCCTACAGTGAATGGTTAATATCCTTGCAATTATAATTCTTGTCCAAATAATTAGCCCATCCTGTTCCTACAAGGCAAAAGAAAATTACGACTTCAAAAGGATCTGATATAATATAGTAACTGTTACTGGGTAAATGGCATCTGGTTTCGTAGTCATGTCAAATATTTTCCTTTGCATGTTCAGAAGCGGTAGTCATCTCTTAGGATAATTAAATACAAAAGACAGAGTGAAACCAAAGGGAAAAAATTATTTTTACAAATTACTTATTCACAAAAATGGAAGGAAAAAAAAGCCAAAATGAAATTCTTTTTTCTTGAACAGAGGTGATTGAAGATGAATCTTGAAACGCATATCCATTTATAAGTGATTAGGAGGCAATAGAATGAGAGATAGGGGCAAGGATGTGTGGATCATGGAAAGGGAGCTTGAAAAGGAAAGTAGAGCTGAACGACGGCAATTTTAAGCAGAGCCTATTCCATTTGCAGAACCACACAATATGTGGAAACTTTATCTTTGGATATATTTGTGTCTCAGATAATCACACATAGTACCTCATTAAGGAAATTTCACGGGGCCTTACCTTTGGCCTGCTTGTTGTTTTGCTTTCTGCATTTTGATAATTTTCTCTGTCGCCTCCCCTCAAGTTGCTGAGTTAATGGCTATATTCTTGAAATGTGGTGCAGCCAACAAAAAGACACTCACTTTATAGCTGTATAAAACAGATAAAATTTGTTGGACCAATAATTGTGAACTGCTAACGGAAGTAAAGCATTCCCTTTATTAAGATTTTGTACGATTGACGAGTAGCCTCTTTTCCCTTATTTATTTTTGATGCACCCACGAGGTTCCCATATGTATATACGATAGGGTGTCTTATGTAGAAAACCATGTCTTTTTGTAAGGTTTTATTTTTTGGGGGTATACGCCTTGTATACAGGCATGTTTTGGCCCTTCTTTTAATGAGATTTATTACCTCATCAAAAAAACTGATACAGCTAAACAGTGGCTAAAAGTCCTGTCGCACATCTTTCCCAACATTGTGCAACTAAAAAGAGAGAGTCGAGTATTTGAAACTACTTAAACAAGGAAGCATTCTATTTTTTTTTATCTGAACTAACAGGGAAGCATTCTAATGGAAGCCAAAACAAAGACAAAGTGTTTTTCAATTGCCCGACACCTTAAAGGTATTTTCCTTACTTTTACTAAAACAAGAACCTGTTCTCACAAAGGAAATTAGAAAGCTAGTGACACAGCTTAGCTCAACTCAAATTGAATGAAACATAACCATATTGGACTCCACTAATGCAGGCCGCGACAGCTAATATTGAACAGCAAAAAAACAACAGATGAAAAGGAGGTGTGATAAGCAGAGTTAGCATCGACAAAAGCTATTTAAAGACATAATTTGTTACCTAAAAATGCCTTTAGATCAAAAGCACCGTGAAGACAAACTCTCAAAAATGTAACAATTGGATCCCTTGCATTCCACTATGATATCAGTCAGGATGGACAAACACTGAGATTTAAACCTGCGAGTTTGGAGAGTTAAGTTCAAATGCAGTTACCTTCAAATTTTCATATACAAGGTTTTTGCACAGAAGTGACCTATTCAAGGACTATATTAGTTATGTATTACAGCAAAGTTATGTAAAAGTTCATTATCACCTCTGACAGAAGGAATTCACAATAGGCAACCATTATATTCAAAACTACTTTAGGCTTGTCCTGATAAACATGTGTGGACGAAGTTATATGTCGAAGACTGCAAGACACTCATTCATGCACTTCAAAACCAACAAGGCAACAGACTCCATTTTTCTGTGTTCTGATTTTAAGAGGCCTCCCGACAACACTGAGCAGCACAAAATAAATAAGAAAAAAATAACAGAAGACCGATAAAACCACCAAAGCAATAAAATCCGATTACTCCATGCTCATATTTACTTTACGCGGCTTGAAAAGATAGATACACAGAAGACACGGAAAAAAAAAAGATTGAAAACAAAGCATAGATAGGAAAAATAACAGGAATTATAATCACAATTAAATCTGAAATTGACTGAAAAGACTTAACAAAAGATTGAGGCAATAACAGAGAAGGAACTAAAGAGAAGCAAAAAAAAATGGACCAAGGGGAAAACCAGAAGAATCAAAATATGGGAAAGAAGAACAACATAAATACCAACGCTTTGATTGCAAAAGGAAAACAATAAGAAAAGATAGCTGCATAATATAATGTAGGATGCATCAGATAGCATGCATTCTCATACCCAAAAAAGAGGGGGGAAAGAAACAAGAAGAAAACCAGAAGCACAAAAAATCCAGAGCATGGTTTCTAGAAGCTTCAAAATACAACACAACAATTCGAAGGATAAATCGGCAAAAATGGAAAAGCATCACTTGCAATAACATTGGATGATGATATCATAGTCCTCACATATATGAAGCTCAAGAAATATCAAAGAAAAGGTGAGAAGGAATGATATTCGACATGCTTGTGACAAAAATATTTCTAGAATTTTTTTCTATATCGCCAAGAAGAAAGCACACTTAGTTTCAATCTCTTCTATGGAACTTCCTCTGAACTCTGAAGATTCTTTATTTCCTAAATACATGGATATCTCGGTTTTCCTGAGTAACAATATTACCCTCCATATAGCATTTTACCCAACAAAAAAAATAGAAATAATAAGGTATCCAGAACATGAGCCCAGACATCTATTTCAAAACATACCTAGAGAGAAAGAAGAAAAACTAAAACCGGAGAAAATTAAACCAAAACTCACAGGTAGATCTCGCTGGAATAGAAGAAACCAAAGCTTCCGGAAGAAGTGGAGAGACTCGAGAAAAAGCTGACACATAAATTACTGAAGAAGCCAGAATGAGATAGAAACAGAGAGTCCAGGGTATTCCAAATTCCAAATAAGAGATTTCCTTACCTGCTATGTTATTAAATGACAAAACAATAAGTTCCCCAAATTGCCCCTGTTCGTACCATCTTGTTCATCCACCATTGTCGGTTATGTATAATTTATTTAAATTTAGTAGAAATAGCACTCGCACTAAGCAACCGCAAGTACCAAGAAGTTAATAGGTCTTTGGAGCTTCCAACCGAAACATTGTCACTGAACCAAAACCTGTATCAGAATATTAACAAGTTTCTCCTGGAGAACAGATTCGATGAATGCTGTCCTTCTTAAGAACAGGAACAAACTTTGACAATCCCGTAGCTTCTTCAGATTCCAAACAGGAAACAACATAAAGATAGCTACCAACAATTTTGAACCAAAGAAGTAATTCCCACAGTTGCTAAGACCAAAATTATACTTTAAAATAGAACAATATTCTTTTACACCGAACAAACAAGTGGTTAAGGTCACAGCATTAACCCATGAAAAATAGAAAAAGCAAAAAGATCAAGCTCTCCTTTTACTCAACCGCCATGAGTTAGGCTCATGGTATCTATCGTAAAGGGGTTCAATGCGTTCTTGTCTCTTGCGCTTGCTCAATTTAGTTGGGTCAGACACTTTGAAGAATCTCGGCGCCAATTCCACAAGCCATTTCGGATCTACAACAGTGACTTCACGCATGTATTCCTTAGTTGTCATCACCAGCTCATGGTAAATAACCCAGTCCGGTTGTCTTTGAAAAAGTGCACTGCTAGGATGGATGTAAACGNGCGCATGTACTCCTTAGTTGTCATCACCAACTCATGGTAAATAACCCAGTCCGGTTGTCTTTGAAAAAGTGCACTGCTAGGATGGATGTAAACGGGCTGGTTTTCAACAAGGGTTCTATAACCCTCTTGAGGATCCTTTCTGGCAGAATGAAAAAAGAAACCTGCTGTAATAGCCTTACGGATCTTTGTAAAGTTTTTTCCGGCACTCATAACATCCAATTTATACCTGCCAAGGCATGGAAGATTCACCATTAGGTAACAAATCTATTAAGTTTCTTCTCAATAAAATTATGGATAGAAATCAATTGACTAAGTCCAAGCCAATCAGGCAGTAAAAGCTGAACAAAATTGTAAGAGATGATGAAGCAAGAAATGAAAGAACAAAGAGAAGGAATTAAATACGTACTTGTCCATAATGGAGAGGAGTTGTTTCCTGACATCTTGTGCCCTTCTAAGAGATCGAGATTGAACAAAATTTTCAAAACACCATGGCCCAGAAAAGTTTTTGGCTTTCCAAGCCTCGTAAACAGCAAGCAAGGTCAGATGATCACCCTCAGGCTGAAAAAACTTGGCCCTTTTCTGATCAGCCTGAGCTTGTTTTTCTCTCGGTCTGTAGAAGATATTGCCAGTTTGAATCATTGCAATGATGGTCAAGATCTCATCGCTACAACCAAGGTCCACACTGGCGAGGAGCATCTTGGACAAAGGAGGATCCAATGGAAATTCTGCCATTTTCCTTCCCAATTTTGTTAGGAGCCCCTCTTCATCCAGTGCTCCAAGAGTATACAACTGTTCCATGGCTGATACCAGAGCCTGAGGGGAAGGAGGGTCCATGAAATCAAACGACAAAAGATCATTAATTCCCATGGCTTTCATCATAAGTACAGTGTTCCCAAGATTTATCCTCTGGATTTCAGGGATGCTAGTAGGAGACATTTCATTGTGGAACGCACTCTCCGTGTATAGGCGGTAGCATTTACCAGGTCCTGTTCTTCCAGCACGCCCAGCTCGTTGCTTTGCTGATGCTTGCGAAATTGGAGTTATTACCAAAGAATCAAGCCCCTGTTTTGGATTGTAAACATTTTGCTTTGCAAATCCAGGATCAATAACATAATATATACCATCGATAGTCAACGAAGCTTCAGCAATATTTGTAGCAACAACTACTTTTCTCTTCCCAGGAGGGGCGGGATCAAAAATTCTAGATTGCATTTCACTAGGCAGAGCACTATAGACAGGTAAAATAATCAGTTCAGGAACATTTTTACCTAGCCCTTTCATCCTCTCGTACAGACACTGGCAAGCATAATCAATCTCCTCTTGACCAGTCAGGAAAAGGAGGACGTCACCTTCAGGTTCT